CATGCAATACAGTATTTGAGGAAACTGAAAAACCAGACCAAACTCGTTGCCACGGAGTCGATTCCGATTTAGATGAAAGAGTGAAGTTAACTAGTGGGGATTTCAATTAATTAAGTCAATATACTTCATTCTGACAGTGAAGAAATTTGAGATAAACTTCATATCAAAAATGGCAAGACACCCTATTCACGGTATATTTGGTTTTCCGGCTTAGATTAGGTCACTAGCTGTGTACACTCTTGTTGTCACGATTTACTCTCTGACAACGTTTCTCCAAAAATGATTAACCAAAAAACAAGCCAGTTGCCACTGAGTCGACTCCGACTCATGGCAACCCCTTTCGTGTCAAAATAGAACTGTGCTCTGTAGGGTTTTCAATGGCTAGGTTTTTGGAAGTAGATCACCAGGTCTTTCTTCCAAGGCAACTTTGGGTGGGCGCGAACCTCCAACCATTTGGTTAGCAGCCGAGAACATTAACCGTTTTCACTGCTCAGGGACTCTCCCCTCAAGAAAAAAAAAAAAAAAGATTATACATTATCAAACTCGATTAGGCACTAGAGTGTCTCTATCCACTCCTGTATAGATTACAGCCCAGAAAACCCCATGGGGCAATTCTGCTCTGTCACATGGGGTCAATGTTAGTCAAAATAGACTCCATGGCTCCAACAACAATAACCAAGAGAAAGATGTCACCTCAATACGCAGAAAAACAAGAGTGTGGGATCTGAAAGTGAACTCGCCCCTGCAGGTGCTACTACAAGGCAACAGCAGAGGGGATACCACTGGGTTCCTGGGGTACTGTCCTCAGGAGAACACACTGTGGCCCACCCTGACGGTGAAGGAGCATTTGGATGTGTACGCCGCCGTGAAAGGGCTGAAGAAAGGAGACGCCGCTGCCGCCATTACGCGGTAGGGGGTAGTTCTACACCGGGCGGGCGGATTTCAGGGGAGGAAGACAAGGGTACAGGGGCGAAGGTCGGGAGTGACAACATTCACAGGAAATTCCCAAAGGGTGACTCTAAACGCTGGCCCAGGCCCCGCTGGGTAGATTTGCAACTGGAAACCAGTTTCCTGAATTTCAAAGCATAATTTTTTTTTCTCATATTAAACATGGAAAGAAAAAAGCAAGCATTGAGTGGTGAAATTTATCAAAATTACTAAATTTAAGTATATATTTAAAAAAAAAAACCAGTTGCTGTGGAGTTGATTTCGACTTATGGGGACCCCATGTGTGTCAGAGGAGAACTGTGCTCCACAGGGTTTTCAATGGCTGATTTTTCACAAGTAGATCAGTAGGCCTTTCTTCCAAGGCACCTCCGGGTGGATGCGAACCTCCAACCCTTTGATTTGCAGCCTAGTATGTTAAACTTTTACACCACCCAGGGACTCAAAAAACAAGCTCTATATGGGACAACAGTTTGGATGAATATCATGAAATGTGCTTATATTCTTTCAAAAGACAAAACTCTTTGGGGGGATTTGGGGAGACGGGGTGTCAGGGCAGCCAGATGTAAGATGCACCAGCACTGTCTCCGGAACCTCATATCTGAGCTCTATCCTGTGATCCCCGTCCTGCTGGCCCGTTCTCCCCTCAACTTTCCTCATTGTCAAGAAGACAATAGAGTGTAAGGCCCTGTTGTGTTTCTATCAGGTTAGTGGATGCACTCAAGCTGCAGGACCAGCTGAAGGTGCCCGTGAAGGCCTTGTCAGAGGGGATAAAGAGGAAGGTACGAGCAGGGCGGGGCTCAGGGTCCCTCCGCGCCCCGCACTGACGGGGTCGCACCCTGTGCACAGACAGGGCCAGACACTGCTCCTCTCGTTCCAGCTGTGCTTCGCGCTGAGCATCCTGGGGGGCCCGGCAGTGGTGCTTCTGGACGAGCCGTCCACGGGAATGGACCCCGAAGGGCAGCAGCAGATGTGGTAAGCAGTGTGACTGCAGGCAGGGCCAGCCGCACACGCCTGGTGGGAAATTTGTAAATTGTTTTTATCCTGTAAAAATTGTCCCTTAAGCTGTTTCTTAATGTGGAAAAGCTATCAATACAATATCATTAGTAAAACCAATACTTAGTTAAAAAAGAAAAAAAA